GCCCCCCCGCTACCAAAACCTTGCTACGCAAGCCCAATACACCTACTGATACACTAGGTGCTTTAATTTGCTAGAACATGAAGTTTTGTCTAAGTGGCAAAAAGACTGAGCCTAGCAACTGTCTGGTACTGTGTAACAATATATTTGCATGCCTTGGAGTGGTCTACTGAAATGTGAACTAAGTAGTTTCTGTCTATTCTAACTTCTAATGGCTTAACATCTGTCTCTTTACAGTTGAACTGACTTTTAGAGTTTCTGAAGTAAAATTATTTCTGTGAAGGAATCAAATTTTTATATCACTTCCCTAAAATTTTGAAAGTGATTACTAAGTCATTTTGAAGAGTAACTTCTTTTTTTAATAATGTCTTGAAATCCAGGTCTAACCTGGTGTTTTTTAGTGACTCTTGTTTGCATCTTGACTGAGTCATGGTTCTTGTCCTTGAGGACTAGATGTTTACTGTTTCTTTTTTTCTATGCATTTACACACAGCTTCAAGAAATGGTAATTCCAACTGTCTACATACTGTGTGGCTAGCCGTAACTACTATAACCTCTCTAGCAAGGGTCCTTTATGCATTATAGTTGCTCTTATGTATCACCTTATACTGGACTAATCTGAAAAGAATTCAGCTGTATCTAGTGTTTTCATGATAAGGTAGAAGTTAGAAATAGCTATATGTTACTGAAATACTTGGAGCTGCCCTTTGCTTAAAAATGACAGCCTCTGTTTTATATTTCTGCTTGGCATTCTTGGGGGAAACTAGCTAGAGTTCTTTGAAATCTGCAGTTACTTGGTTTATAGGCCCTAAATCAGTTTTGAGTTCGTTCTGTCTGTGAAATAAACACAAATAATTAAAAAAAATAGAGCATTTTAATTTTGTTCTTAAGTTTTTTTTTAAATATCTTAATTTGCTTTGAGATATTATTTTTTTTCCTTAAAGTATCAGTGATGGATATTCTTTTAAAGATTTTTACAGGTGTTGCTATTTGAAAAAAAAAAACTTACTCTGGCTCTGTTTCCTTACTACTTAATCAGGTGATACACTTCTGAATGCACAAGTTAGCAGCTCTAAGCCTGCAAAGGGGGAGTCATCAATTCCACAAGGTAAGAGGCTTTCATTTTATTATGAAAAGCATAGGCTGTATTTTTAGGCATCCTAATCAACTGCAAAAGTATATTACAGAAGTGAAAACAAATTGTCAGTGCAGGATTTTGTGTGGTTACTGATCTGAAACGTTATAATGCAGCTGGCTTTTATGGTTATGCAAATCTTATACTTCTAGGTTGCAGTTACTTCTTAACAGATTGAAAACAGTCTCTGTTATATGTAGAAAAAGGACTCAGTATCTAGAATTTTCAGCCAGATTACCCATTATATGAATTGTTACTTACAGAATAGTAGAGCTTATTCTCAAGCTTTACTTAAAAACTGTTTATGCTAGCTTTTCAAACTCACTCACTTTTTTGTGTTAATGAATTGATTATTTGCTCAAAGAAAAGCTGAATATAGATAACTGCAAAGAGCTCAAAGATATCAATCCTGACTATTGTAAAGTTTGTACTTGTTCAGATTGTATACACAAGTTACTCAGTTCTTTACATACTCCTTTGAGGCATACTTTAAATACATTCATCTTGAAAGTAAATAAATGTATTATGTCATGTATATTTATTTACAAACATACAGTTGTGTGTATCACATTTAAACGTTAAAATATTTGACTATTTATAGACTGACTAGTGAATCTTAGTGATTTTCTGATAAGAGATATTGCTATAGTAATACTCAAAGTGAATTAGTTTGGCATAATGAAATTAAGATGGTTGTTTCTTATAGTCAACATTAGTGGTGTTGCTTTAATGAAAAGTACTTGGTGCAATTAAGCAAGCCAACAAACAAGTTATTAAAAGTGTCCAGGTCCAGAAAGTGAACCACTTTCTACTACTTTTTGAGAGCTTTACTTCACGTGCAAACTTCCTGGACCACAGCAGAGAAGGAAGGAGCTGTATTCTTCAGAGATGCATTATGGAAGGACAGGAGGCAATAATCAAGTTTCAGTAAGGGAAATTCTGACTGGCCATGAGGAAAAAAGCTCTTCATAATATTGCCCAGAGATGCTTTAAGCTATGAGCCTTTATGATTTCCAGAACTTGAATCAAGTATATAATTCTGAAGTTAAATGTACTTTGAGCAGAAGGTGGAACTAGGTGAATTCCAGAGATCCCTTCCCATGTGAAGTTTTCTGTGCTTCCATGAAAATTTACTGGTCATGTAGAAGGTAAATGTTTGTAATGAGAGAGTAGTATGATAAACGCAGAATAGTTCAGCTCCTGCTTCAGGACTTCAGGTGTTTTTTGCAAGGATGCAAAAAAGTTTTTCTATCAGCCACACTTTGGTTTCTGTCTCTTTGCTATTTTTGTTGTTGCCTTCCCCTAAGTCGTCATATTACCCTTGGACATTGGCTGACATGAACAATGTTAGTGCTGTGGAGTTGTATAGAGAAAGGGCAGTGGTTTTAGGTACAGCAATGGTGACCTTACAGATGTCCATGTTGGAAATGATTTGCTTAAGAAAATCTAGGCATATCTCACCTAATCACTTCCCTGCCAGTGAGGCTGCCTCAAATGTGGCACGTTAATGCTGCCTGAGCTGTGAGTTCATTTGAGGAATGAAATACTTGGTCTGTATTTTTGTTGGCATATGATAGTGACTTACTCGTGCATCAGGTTTTGGCTGACTGTTTAAGTGTTACACTTGCAGTATGCAGGTATTTCTTAATGATTTGTAAATCAGAAGTTTTCCTGTTGTTTACATTGCATATATAAAAAGAGAAGATTTGATATACAGAGCCCTTTGAGAATGATTTGTGATATATAGGAGGTCAGGCTGGGTGTACCAGGTGACCATTAGCCTTTGTTTTATAGGGGCATAAATTAAAAATAATAATAAAAAAAGTTTATGTACTCAATGTCTCAGTGTACTATTGACTCCTCTCAAAGTATATGTTAAACATGCTATGACTAGTAATTCCTCAGCAGGGTAGACTGCTGCAGATAGACTTGTGGTCTTTTACCTTAATGAAACAAAATATATTGTATATAAATTATTTTGAGAGTGTTACCATGATTTTTTCCCTCTAACTTTGATGGACTCTATAGTCAATATGATAACTGTCCTCTCTGCAAATTCTGTGTAATGTTTGGGAACCGTTTTCTAATCCTTGGTCATTTCTTCTGCTTCCTGTCTAGAGAACTGCTGTATGCACTGATGAAACAGAAATTATTCTCCACTTAGTTCACTGGGCTTTCCATAAATCATCACCATATTCTGTAAAAGAAATTACCTGGCAGTGTTGGAAGCACTCCCACCCCCTCTTTCATTATTTTATTTTAATTTAGAGGCACTGGTTCACCAAGGTATTAGCCCTATAGAGAAAGGGACATAGGAAGGACAGTGCAGTTCGGTGCTGGTTTTTCTTCACTCTTCAAGTTAGTAGACAGATGGTGCATATCATCTGAACTGGAAAATCAGCTGAGACAGAGCAGCAGCTCTTCTATATATCACATTGGTTAGCAAAGCTGCTGTTCATTTGTACTTTTTTATTGTTAAGTAATATTTTAATTCTTAATCCAGTTCGTAATTTTATATAATGCTTTCATTATGTTTGTATTCAAGTTTCTCCAGGATTGACTGAAAGCCATACAGTAAATGGAGGAAGCTGGAATGAGAAGTCTGTAAAAATCTCCTCACAGATTGGTGTAGGGGAGGAGAAATGGACATCTGTTCCTTCAGCTGCAGCTGGGAAGAGGAAGACTGAGACATCAGCTTGGGGCCAGGACACTGGAGATGCTAATGGAAATGGAAAGGACTGGGGTGTAACCCTGGTGGGCAGGCCCTGGAAAGAGCGTTCTTTGTTCACTCCTATTGGTAAGCTATTCTGAAGAAAACTTGCTTCACTTAAGCATTTTTTTTGCATAAGTGTATTTTTTTTAGTAGTGAGTCTCTTAAATAGCTTTATGTCTACGTATTAAAAAAATCTTGTAGTGGTCTAGTGGAATGTGAACTAAGTTTCTGTTTACTCTAAGTTCTGATGCATTAACATCTATGTCTGCGTTTACAGTTCAACTGGGTTTTTGGAGTTTATCTGAAATGAGATTATTTTTGTGAAGGAATCAAACTTTTATATCACTTTCCTAAAATTTTCAAAAATTCTGAAAGTGATTACTAAGTCATTTGGAAGTATAACTTCTTTTTTTAATGAATGTCTTAAAACTCAGGTCATAAATCTGTTCTGTTGATCCAGCATGATCAAATCAACTGTGCTTTTGGCAGATGCTTGTCTGGCTCCAGGCATGAAGATTGTTCAGCTCTCATGACACTTAGTGTTAAACTGTTTTTCTCATTAGAAATTGTTTCTAGTCATCTCTGGTACAATTTTTGCCTTTATCACTTGTACTGTCCATAATAATAGTGGAGAAGAGAATTCCTCATTTCTCTCTGGGCAACAATCTTCAACTTGTTAGCAGGGTCCTTCCCACCCTTCAGTTTAAGGGATCCTAGTCTGCTCTGGAAAGCAATATTCCTTTGTAGTCAGCAATGTTGATTTAGTCTAGACCTCTTTTTTTTGCCTCGCATATCTTGAGATGTGGTGCCTGTGGCTGGACCTGCTACTGTCTCTCACAGTATTACTGTATCCAAGTTAGGATGGTTGAAAAATTGGTCAGGCTCAAAGGTAGTGGTCAGTGAGTATCTCCTATTTGTCAAAAATTGTTCTGAACTCAGTTCTGTTCTTTAACATATGTGCAGTTTGTTCCATGGTAGGTTTCATCTACAGAGTTAATAAATACGTTTTTCAGTAACTTAGATGATGGCAATAATAGGAAGAACACCACCACTATGGGGCTCAAAACACCATTTACTTTTCCTTTGTGAGAAAGGAAAAAGTATATATAAATAGCTTTTAATATAGAAAAAGCTGTAGAGGGAGGAAGATCTCAACTTGAAAATTGTTTCAAGCTGAATGTTCATAGTCACATCTCTATCAGCAGTAATTGTCTCGTGTAATAAGCAAAATAATGTCCTCAGTTGTGTGAAACGTTAACATGGCTGGAACTTCCGCTGTTTTTCTGACCCTATTCGTAATTAAATAGCTAACTTTTTCAACATTGCCAGCAGTGTAAAGTTTGGGTTTTGCTTGTTTTTTTTTCTCCCTCCTCCCCCACAGCTGCTTGGAATGTGGATGCAAGGATTAATACCTCTGAACAGAATTCTACTTCTTTCTCTTCATTTGGATTAACTCCTGGAGTTTCTGGTATGTATGCCCTTCCAAAGATTTTTCCACTCTTTTCTTCCCCACCAGGTGGAAATAGAATTTGCCAAGTGTTATTAATATACATCTTTCTCATTGTTCTTTAAAAATAGTACTGGTAACTGTAAACAAGTGAAGACACGTTTTATGAAAGCCTAGAAAGCTTTTTTGTTATGCTGAAATTATGCAATAAAGTAACTGTTTTAAATTGATAACCAAAGCTGGATTGATAAGAAGGTGACATTTCTTATTTAGCCTCCCTGTTTGTGTGTTGAGTCTAAATAATGGTCATAGGAGATTGCTCAGTATTGCTGTGTCTCGAGTTGGAGATCTGAAGATTGCTTTCTAAGAAAGTCTGTTTATCCTCATCATCTGGGTGGTTTGTTATTTGATGGCTGGGTTTTTTCCCTTCAAGGAACTGAAGCACTACTTTCGAAATAGGTTCCATAGGCAGGATTGGAAGTCCTGAGTCTTTTCTCTATATGATGGGTGGGAAAGCCGAGCTCTGGGGTTTTCTGGTTTTGAAGGGTGAAATTGCTATACAGTGCAAACCTGGCTTCATAACAAATCTTGTGTGTTAAACTACTGACATAAGTGCTACAGTGATTTATTACACAATATAGGGATCATATGTCAGGTTTTCTGCTCTTGCTTACTCCCATTATCTAACCAGCTTGGCATGGCTATTTTCTTTTAGTAAGTAGCTGGCCTGAGTACTTACGCACTTAGGTTATGTTTACTTGCATTGCAGTTTGCAGTCTTTTAACTGTGGAACTCGAGCTCCGTGTTCTACAGCGCACATGAGTGCTTCATCCTCTGGGCACATCTGAGCCAGGATAACAAAGAAGTTATAAATTCCAAGGTCTAATTTATCAGACTTTCCGAAGAACAGTTCACTTAATGAAAACTTACAGAAACCTTGCCTTAAAGAAAAAGAAGTCTTAATTGTACAGAGTTTTAATAAAATAACATTTTCCTAGGGGAGCCACATGTATTCAAGTTCAGTCTCTAGGCTAAGACAGAAGAAAGTTTAGTCAATAAAGTGGGACAACAGACTGATCTGAGTCATCTGCAATACTACCATTCCAACTTTGAGAGAGAAGTGTGAAGGCAGCGAAGTATATTCATCACCTTTGATGCACCTTAGCCAACAAAGTGACCCCATGAACAAATATTTACTTCTTACTTGTTACTGGCTAGCAAAAAATAAGAACATACCAAGGTTCCTGTCATCTGAGGTGTGTTTTGCAGAGGTGTTTATAAAATAGACACACCCAGGTAGCAATGGTCCTATTTAAACTTCATTTCAAAAGTAAGTCTCATCATAAAGTAATATAATAATTTCTTTCAGTCTCACAGTTAAGGTTTTTTGGTGGTTTTTTTTTCTAAAATGGTTTCTGTTTGCAGATGCCTTATTTTTCTTAAAATAATGATGTTAGATCTCTAACACTTCCTGTTACCATGACTGGTATTGGCCTTACTGTTGTTTTTCATGCTGCCTTAATGTTCCTGCAACCTTTTACTTGAAGAGAGAATTGGATTCTTAGTAATGAATAATTTAATTGCTATATCTGCAATGTAACTGATGAGGTTTCTTTCTAGTAGTCCCTTCTTTTAAGCTTCTCCCTCTGAGTTCTTACTGATACAGGCTAATAATTTTACTACCCATAAAATTTCATTGTATTTTTCAGTTTGAGGAGACTGCTGTAAGCCCTATAGACTGCTGTTATTCACCCTTCTTATCTCTTTTTTCCATAGTCTTTCCTGACTGAATTTTGCCATCCTTCTTCAGTTCCCTTGTTTTCTGAACATATCTCATTTTCAAGAGCCTTGTAGTTTTCCTGTTCTGTGCAGTCCTTAGAATCAGACTCTTCTCTTTGAGCCTTCTGTCTTCCTTTGTGACTTTGACTGGAATTTCTTTACCCAAGAAAACTCAGGAAGCTTGTTAACTTACAAGTACAATTTTATTTATTTCCTTTCAGGATCCAACAATGAGTCAGTTTCTCAGGCTGGTACTTCTGATTTTCAGTGGGATTTAAGTCATGCTCAACCCCCTGTTGATGACGAATGGTCTGGGTTAAGTATGTTCCTCTAAGATGTTCATTAACAAAATTTTGTTAATTACTGTTACTTTAAAGTGTAGTTACTTATATTAGCTACTTGTATTAGACAGTTGTGAGCATCTGAAGAAAAACCTGGAATGTTTCACTTCTCTAAAGCTAACTGACAGTTTGAGTAAAGCAGGAAGAAGTATTTTGACGAATGAAAATAGAAAATGGTTAATTTTTAGGAAAAATACTTGGATATTGAAACTCAGAAGCAAAAGCTCGTGCATTTTAAGGTAGTTCTGGCTTTTGCTAGAAAATCTGGGTAATCCATTAAAACAGTCTTACCACAAATGATAAGAAAAACCTACTGCAAGTCTGCAGAACAGTGTAGGTATTTAGCAGATTGTACTTACGTTACTGAGTTTTCTTTTATGTGTTTTTGTACCTTACTGAAAACTTAATGTGACGTAAGACTCTTAAATTTAGTCTAACTTACTTTCTCATTTAGCAAACATTAGGAAGTTCTTGTGTGTATAGAAAGCATATGGAGGATACAAATCACTGAAATCACTTGGGAATTGTAGTAAAACTGGTTTACTCTTCCTTTCCCCTCCCTGCCGATCTTAAAACATTCTCATAGCTCTTACCACAGTCTCTCCCCAAACAGGGCTGTAGTGTAATAGTTACAGCCATCCCTGACTATTTACTAGTGAAATTGTACCTGTGAAAGGTGGCTTTCAGCCTCAAATTCACCTTTTGAACTGCCTTGTAACTGATATCTGTATTCAGTCAGATGTAAGAATGTTTATGAAAAACAATTTACTGCCTCTCATTAGGTCATTGACCTGGAAAATTGGTCAGGAAGTTGACCAGAGAAGCTGTCTTGCATACTACCTTCTGTCTAAGAACAACTTCTTTTTTAATGACTGCAAAAGTGGAATGGATTGATGCAGTCCTCAATTCTACCAGGCTATAGCTTCTGTTAATAGAGTAATTTGGTCATAGATGTCAACTCATGTACACTAGTAGAAGTGGGGAAATAATGGAAGTTTAGGCCAATGTGATAGACAGATACACCTTACAGCTTTATCAGGTTCAGGACAAAGAAATTAACTGTATGTACAAATACTACTAATTTTTATTATTAATAAAAAAAGAATGGATTTTTCCTTTAAGCAACTAGTGAGTGAGCAGTATATAAACCATAAAGTTTTATGTGGGGCAGTAACTGTTTTTTCAAATCAGTAAATTTTAGTGTAAAGTAAGTGTAGTTAAGGTAATATTTTTATATGAAAGCAAGAAGTGGAAAAGTACTAGAAGTGATCTTAAGATCTCTTAGTGTATTTTTGGTTTCATAATGCTTGCCAGTAAATTTAATTGGGTTTATTACTGCTTTTCGTTTTGACTTAATTTTCAAATGTTTAAACTGAGTCTCACTGTAGTTGGCAGAGCAAGTTGGCCTCTTCTCCTTCAATTTGGCGTAGACTGAGGGTGAGAAATATTTATGTTAATATAGATGTGAAATGAAAGATGATCTTTTACAAGGTGTTCTGTTTTAAAATCAGCTTGCTATAACTTTCTACTGAATAGACAATCTAAGGCTTAGTTTTTCCCTTCAGATATTTTTAATTTTTTATAACTGACCCTTTAAATCTGTCATTCCTGTGTAACAGTGTAAATATGTGCCACCATAAATGAAGGATAGCAAAATGGAGTAGGGTCTCAGAGTCTTAGAAAAAGTAAGATTATTTAAAAATGGCAGTGTTAGAACATGACTTTTGACTCAGTAAGGTTTACAGTTTTAGATATATCACAGAATGGTTGAGGTTGGAAGGGACCTCAGGGGATCATCTAGTCCAATGGTCCTGCTAAAGCAGGTTCACCTAGAGCAGGTTGCACAGGACCACTTGTAAAGGATTCTTACTAAAGTAAGATTGATCAGTGTTACAATTCATCTTAATTTTTTCACAAACTAGGACAAAGGTTCAAGATCAAGGACAACTTAAACTTGTCCTTCTTCACATAGAAAAGTATGCGAAAGCAATTGCGTCTAGCTAGCTTTTTGCTTTCCAAGAGAACCAAGTCTTACTCAGAACGTGTCTGCCACCTATCATTAAAATCTTTAAATTTTTTCAGAAATACAGGATATATTTCTATCTTGATATCAAGAAGTAGTTTTATGCCTATGTTTGTTTTCCTTTTTAAACTGTCAAAGAGCACCTGTAAAGTAAGGAGATGTTCCTGAAAATCTTTTTAATCTTTGTAGATGGACTTTCTTCAGCTGATCCCAGCTCTGATTGGAATGCACCAGCAGAAGAGTGGGGAAACTGGGTGGATGAAGAAAAAGTTGCTTCTGTTCCTCAGCCTGAAGAGATATCTGATGTTCAGAAGGTAAAAGGTGATATTTTCTCCTTAGCTCCAAGACTTTGCCCTTACCACTGCCATTTCTTAAAGTTACTTAAGGGTGATGATAAAGGTAGTCTCTCATCTTTTTTACACTGATAAGTGTAGCATAATTGTATTTGATGTGTACACAGAGAACAAAAATGCTGAATGTTGTAGAGAAAACTAGCACCAAGTCAAATCTTACTGTCTCACCATAAGGATTACCTTATTATTGTAGACTAAGTGAGGATTTAGATATGTTTTCATAAATACTTCTTAACAATATTTAATTGTCTGTATGAAAAACAGCATTTCCGTGCTGCCAGTACATGGTGCTCTGTTGCCTTTTCCATTCCAAAATCCTGCACCTGTATTACCTGATAGTATGTAAAGAATGTGGTCTTCCATGACCTGGAATGAACTGAAAAGATAAGATTGTGTTCATTTATATTTTTATATGCAATTAAATTCCTTATAGCTATTAATTTGTGTTTAGTCTATAGAAGGCATGTTTCATCTTAAATCCAAAATACTTTATATTCCCATATGAAGGCTTCGGATAATGAAAGAGAAAAAGCAGAGCCAATTCTTCAGAGTTCTACAAGTGGCAAATCCAAGAAAAAGAAGAAGAAAAAGAAGAAGCAGGGTGAAGAGGCTAACTCTCCTGCACAGGTAAATGGAACAAAATCTGGATAGTCTGAAAGGCAATTTGTGAGGAATTCACAAAATCACCCTATTTTTGTATATTAGTGTCTGAAGCAAAAATCGTTTGGGGGCAATTCATTTCCTTATGGCATTGGATTGTCTACTGTTGTCTCTCGAGTTAAAGTTAATCTTCTCTTACTAGTATTTCCTTTAATTTGAATGATTCCATGTTTGACTTGTGAATATAATGTAGTTTTGCTGGATTTATGGAAAGTATGAAATATGTGGAAAGTATTTATCCTGAATTACTTATTTTTTTATCAAATCAGGATTCTTTATTGTAGGGATGCTTCCCAGAAGGAACTTTCCTCTGCATGGGAAGCCTTCTCCTGTCCTTGGAAAGACAGCTGCCTTGATGGACATAGCTAACTAGGAGAATGAGAGAAACTCAAGTTTTCTCTTAGGCTAACTTAAAGTACAATTCTATGAGTGTGTAGTGGTTTTCTGAAGTACTGTTGTAGCTTGATTTATGTGAAATAGTATCAACTCACCGAACTCAGGAGGTGGAGCTACTCTGGGAGTCAGATTTGAATGAGAGAGATAGTATTTGCGAACGGAGGATTGTTGGAGTTTTCTGTGTTACTTAAATAGCTTTTGATGAGTTATAGTGAAACAGATTTGTTGTAAAAATAGCAAGAGCAGATTGCACTTCACTTGGCAATTGAATCATGTTTGAATAGATAAAAACAAGTACTTTCCTAATAGGAAAAATCTTTTAATAGTTCATGCTCACAATACGTCTTGCTTGTGCTTATAGTGACAGCCATTCATAATCTACACTCTTCACAAAATGTTAAATGCTCAGTTGAATCTGACTAGGTGAATTGGAGAGAGGGGGAAAGCATTAATTTCAGTCACTCTTGGTTTGGATTTGCTTTTTGTGATTATCATGTTTTCAGTCTGAGATTTTGTTAAAACAATTTTAAAAAAAATTAAGTTCCTATTGTATAGAATTCGTTTAAAGTTGTCTATGTGGAGGAGGATGCTTGTGTCAATTTGCAGTGTTTCCTTTTGAGGCAAGTTCAAACAGGGTATTGGAACTGCAGGTTTTTTTGTAATTGAATTCTGTCATGTTCTGGTATCTGCAATGACTTTTTAAGTGTAAGTCAAGATTAATAGGTTACGGTTAACGGGTGTTTGTGGATGTCTTGCATGGATCTTAAGGTCAGTGAATGCATTCTGAAATTATTTTTTTTCCCGTTGCCTGTAAGCTGCCTTTTAAATTGTGTATGTCCAATGAAATCCTACTGTCCATATTAACATAATTAGATTAATTTATTCTATCCATTGATTTCCAACCATTCAGATTTTGTTACTTTTTCTTTCAGTCCTTCAGTCTATGAGATCATCAGTTTAAAGATGAGAATTTCTCTTAAATTTTTATGGAAAATTGGGGGATGTTGCTTGATAGGAGCAGACAGAGCTGCTAATATATCGGATAAGTTACTGTTGTTACAGCAGTTCAGTAATTTAACTTGCCAGTCCTGCTTCAAACTCACTTACAATTTGTACGTTTATCCTCTGAAAACTGAACGTGTTCACTTAATCAGCATCATCTTTCTCATTGATTACACTTAAGTGTTCACACTCATATTTATTGACTTCAGTGTTTGTCAAGGCAGTGGAAGCTACCTTCAGAGCTAGATGTAAAGCAACTCTTTCCTGTCCGGAATCAACTGTGACTGCATTTTCACAAGGTTACAGGGGAAATTAGTGAAGTAACAATGTTTCAGGAAGGTACTTCCAGCTTAAAACCAGGGACCTGTGTTACATTTACTGTTCACCACCACAGGATTCTTCTGGTGCTATAAACAAATGTGTCTAAGTCCTCATGGAAAATGAAAACCTTCCACCTTTAGAGTGGTTAAGGAGTAAAGGTTGAGACTCTCAGATACTTTGGATATATTTTCAGTTTCTGTACTGAGAGGTTTGTTTTACAGGCATGATAGACTAAATTAGGTTGCAAAAATATTATTAAAGCCTAATGTATGATAGAAAACTGTAGAGGTTAATATGCAGAGCTTGCATTTAAATCACTTTACTTGAAACAAAGCACAGAATTGAGAGCAGTGGAGTCTTACTGTGACACTTTTGCAAAGTTTTTAGAGTAACTTCAGTTTAATTTCACATCTTGATAATTTTGCAGGAGTGTAAAGTGCAGTTCATTCAGAGATTGGGATTTTTGTTAGTAAATTACATGAAGGGAACTGCTTTCTGGGCTTTATTGGGTTCTGTGGGTATTTTTATATTATTTTATATAAATTTTGAGTGTTAGCATGGGCTAATATTAGCCAGCTACTTTAATTTTTTTTTAGATAGATTTTCTTAGTTACAGAAGCTGATTGTGCAAAAAAAAAAGATGTGCAGGTAAGAAGAGTGAGAACTTTACAGTAAACACAGGGTCTTCTTTTTTTTTTTAATTCCCCTCCCAACCCCCTGCCCTCCCTTTTGTAGGACACTGAAGAACTGGACAGAGAAGCTGGAGAGGAATTTCAGGAGGATACCTCAAAAGTTCAACCACAGCAGGAAATAGCTTTTTCTCTGAAGACCATAAGTACTAGTGAACCAGCTAAGGTAGGGATACAAAATTGGGTTTATATTACAATTTCTGATTTGGAAGTGCTCAATGTCCACTGAAACATTAATTTATATAGGTAAGGTTACAGGAAGAATACTGCTTAAGGCTATAAGTTTATGAATATAAAAGTGATGGAGAGGTTGAATTTTAGATACACGTCAGTTGTGAGTTTTAAAAAGGATGTCTGCTCTGAAGAGCAGTATTGTCTAAATCAGCAGTCACTTTTTGACTGTCAAGTTATTTTCTTGTTTGAATATTCAAGCAATAGTGTAAAACTTTGAAATCTTGAAAACCTGTGAAGTAATAGGTCTGAGCACAAGACTAATAGCATATTTTACTGTTTCATTGCAACAGAATGAAGTGTTACTAACTTATATTCTGACTTAAATGCAGTCTAAATTTGATTTTTAATGGCTGTGCTGAGCTTAAATGTTAATGACTGAATAAGAAAAGTTTTAATTTTAACTAATTCACGAACTGTTTGCTTCAGCTCACAGTTGAAACAAATATTCTAGAGAATACAAATTCTCTTTAATTTTTCTCCAGCTAGCAGCTTTTTTAGCTACTGTTAGCCTACAAGCATCGCATTGTAGGAAGAAGTAAAGTATTTAATATGTCTGGTGGTATTGGTTTTGTGTTCCATAAAGAGGGAACAATACCACTGAGGGAGCAGTTTGGTCCAACAGAATATCTGTCAGAATATTGAGTTTTACTTCTTAACTGCTAAGCATTTGTTTTGTAAAGATAACAAGGTTTTAAGATTCAAGTGAAAAATATTAGGATGGAATCTTTTACAAGAGGCTGCAGGTCACCTAAGAAAAGGTACAGAAGGTGTTTATTGAGAACATGTGCCTTGAAAAGCACATTCAGACGTACTTTTAGCTTATTCAAAATACCCTATGTCAAAGTACCGCTTTTACTTTATTTAGTTTAGGTTCAGTTCAACCCTTATTCAAGGTTATCAACAGCTACCTATTCTATCTGACTAGTGCAAAGTTGGTTTTTGTGGGGTTTTTAACTTGTATCCAAAGAAACAGACATCTGCCTATATGTGCAAGTGGCTTTATTCCTGGCAGTGTGTGGTTTTTGAAAAACTTAAAAGCAAAGACATCATTTTGTGTTGGAGGCCATAGTTGAAAATGTGTAGACAGAAAACTCATGTTTGGATTGTGACATCAAGGTAGGTTTTCTGACATCTACAAAGAGGTGTACTGGTGCATTGCAAAAGACTTGCTTTTGCTGTTTAGAAATCTAAATTGACTTTAGAAGTAGTTTTCAGCTACTTGTAATGATTCTTTTGATCTGCAGTTAGATACTTTATTTTTTTTCTCCAAGGTGTCAGCACTGCCAACGTATCAGCCCAGTTTCAGTAGACTTTAAAACCATACCCTACTTCCTAGGTGATTTGATGGCATCAGCTCTGATGACACCTATGCTGTGCACTGTTTTGTGGATACTTGAGTGCTCCTGTTACTCTTGAGCCTTAAATTCAATCTGTTCATATATGTGCCTATGTATAGCTGTGTTAATGACAATTTTGTGAAACAAGACATAGCCCGTATTATCTTGGTGTGGGGACAAACAAAACTATTATTAACAACATTCCCTGGAAGTTAGTTGGACTTGATAAAGGACAATTTATGAATTGTTGTATCTGACAATGCAGATGGTCTGTGAGTCTTTATCAAGTCTCCTTGCCATCAGATTTGGCTTTATTGTAATTTCACACATGCAAAGATGCCTTCTGATGTTGTTTGAATTGGCTGTTCCAAAAAATTTTAGAAACAGTCTGCCTGATTTGTGAAATGAGTGACTTAAGTTTCCAAGGTAGGTAATGTAGTCTTGAGCAAATGCTCCAAAAAATGAGAACCAAATATGAGGAACAATAAATGAATATTAAAGTACAAATAAGTTGTTATCCTGGATATTCTCATAAAGACTAGAAACAGCTGAATGTTGTACACTTCTGGTTTTTATCTGGTGATGGTATTTTTCCCGTATGATACATGGGGCTGCATGGAAACCTTGGGCATTTTCTCAGCAGGCAGAGGTTTTAAAGAAGAGATATCTTATGGGAATCCTTCATTTGTAACAGTTTCACAAGTCACTACTTCATCAGTAAATTGTAGAATTATGCATACAACTATATTATCAAATGGGCTTTATTCATTGTTTCAGGTTTCCTTTCTCAACTGATTTGTTAACAGAAAATCTTAGCAAAGAGTAGTTCCCAGTTCTTAATGTTTGGTATCAGTATTTACTTACCCTCATCCAAAATTCAGACAGAAGTATGGTATTTGGAAAAATGTCCAGACAATGCTGTATGTACCTGTATAGTTACATTTGCAGTAACCCTGCATGCTTTAATGTTCAAGCTGCAACATGTTTGTTAGTCAGCCTGAGACAGCTGTATGCCATTTAAATACTGAGTTGCTTTACTAGCAGGTGAAGAGTGACTTGATCCTAACAAAACTATGACACCAGTGACCTGAATCAATTACCTTGCACAATTAGGAGCTTTAAGCCATCCTTCTGTTTTAGAGGCCGTATCCATTTTGTTAGAGTTCACCATGCTTTCAGTAGATTAAGAGAATTATTGCAATTATAGGTATTAAAAAATTTGTTTCAGTTGATGTGTAAGGGCACAGCAAACTCCTCTGTTCATAAAACTGAATAAATTTAGAGAACTGCTACCCTCTAAATTCATGTGTTGGGATTTTTTAAAGCTGTTTAAGTTCTCACTTAGTATGATATGATTAAAAAGAAAAGTTAAAAAAAAAAAAGATTTTTTGCTCTTTTGTATGTTTTGACTAAATTGAGACACTTACATTACAGTGATGGAAACAGGAGAAACTGGTGACTGTAATGTAGGATCTGTGTACATCCATATCAAGGCCTGGATGTGGACTTCGCTGTGGTGTTGTGATAGTTCCACGTCCTGGCTGTTGTGGCACAACTACAACCATGACTTCTTAATAACATCCTAAAGTTTGGGGTTTATTGCTTGACTGAGGCACTGTTTTCTAATACACTTTTCTTTGAAGCCTTTAGTCATTAGGTCACCTGCTGTAGGATCATGGTTTTTTTATGTTCTTTCTTATTGGAATGTCTTTTTTTTTTGCATTTTGACTTCTGGTTTACTGTAATTCCAGTAAGTGCTACACAGTTAACTACAGTTACATCCTGTCTCTGTAGTGGGAACCTTCCAAATAGACCAGATAATAATACTCCTAGTATTTTCCAATTTACTTGGCATTATTCCTACAGTAGTTTCCACTGAAACACTTTTCTGACTGCTCTCACAAATATCTGTTATTCTAATATAAGCATACAGAGTGTTTTGAACAATTGATACGAATGACTGCAAATGCTTTCTAAATATTATAAACATTTGAATTGCATCTCTTCTGAATATGTATTCTAGAATCTTTTTAGGATCTTAGTGATTTTTAGATTGTTCTCTCTTTGCACGCCTTGTATTTTAAGAATTCATTTGTATGATTCATCTTTGCTTGGATGCAACTAAAAGTTTTGGCACTAGATGGCAGTCATATCTCACAGCCTTGATTTAAAACTTAGAAAGATTTTAATATTAGCTTAATTTTTCAATGCTATCTTTCCGGCAGCTGCTAAGTATACTGCCAAAATAACACTGTGTAAGAGTGTTTTACTGTTGTATGACTTAAACTTTTGGAAACTTTTTTCTGTTTTTTTCAAATAGCCTGAGGAGGCTCCTTCGCTTGCTGTTTCTACTGAGCCATCTGTAATTGTATCAGAGAGCGATTCTGACAAGATCGCTTCCCAAGTGCCACAGATGCTGCAAGAGACAGATGTTTCTAGTACCAATATTAAGCAAAACAGTGTGCCTCCTCCACAGAGTAAGTATCTCTCAGTACAATTCATTCCTCTGAATTCAGGGTGCACTTTTTTTCCCATAGAGCGTATCTAGTCAGAGTGCTTTGCCCTGAAGTTTGGGGTTGGAGTGCCTTGTCAGGTACTTATGTATTTCATTTACATGTCTTGCCATGGTTTAGCTTTCGTTGAAGTACTTTGACAAATGCTTTCACTGTGAGGAAAAACTGTCTTCGTATGCTTGAATGACTGAAAATGTCTGTTGGCCTTGTCCAGTCCTTAACAGATATTTGGACGAACTCTTCGCCATCAGGACTGGAGCTCCATACTGTGACTAAGTAGTTCTGCCAACACTGTTTCAAAGGCCTGCTTGCGAGCCTTCAGTGGAGCAGATGGATACTAACGTAGCAGTTGACAGGATGTTTAGCTAGCGGAAATTTGGAAAAAAATACAAGCAGCTGAGTTTTCACCCTACTGGGGTTTTTTTTGACTTCTCAACTTAGCTCATGAATGTCTTTTTTTTTAATATGTTTCCGTGAAATGTAGTAATCACAGAGGAAAACAGTTGCTAGTATGGGAGTAGAAAGGTATTGGATGATGCACTTATTTTTGTTGTAGCCTAACAGCTACATACATCAGGCTGAACAATCAGATACATTGCTTTTTAAAAATATGCTGTGCCCCAGAGATGTCAAACATATCCTCTGTTGTACTCGGCAAAAGTGCTTGTACTGAAGTATTTGCCCAGTAAGACAGAAAAATCAGAAGGGAAGCAGGATGTGATAGGCATTGATTTTAAAAAAAAAAAAAAAAAGTTGTTTGAATTAGACTTTTTAATGAGATTAATAAATACTGACATTACATAAGAAGTTCCTGGCTAAGTGTTGAAGTAATAAACCAGTTTTTAATGACTACAGAAGAAACTAGATGATTTCATAATATTAGTCTCATTCAGCTCAACTAATTGGCTTCTTGGTTTTGAATATATTAAACAACAGAATCTTTCAAGTCAGTGTGTCAACTTACAACTTTTTGTTTTGGTTCTAAAATACAAAGGTTTTTTGACTCGTTCATGCCCCAGCAAATGAAAAAACATCTCTTATGTTCAGCATGTAAAATATTTTACCTGATTTACCACTTTTGGCAGCCAGCATGTTTTAAGGCAGTCTGTTTTAATAAAATAACATAGTGCTCTTTATTTGATTATGGATTCCATGTAACCATGTCTTTATGTAGCTCATTATTTTTAAAAATACTCTTCTGGCATGTCAGTTATATACAGTGGTTAAAAACAGTGTAATGTGACAAAAGTGAGCAATTAATGTCAGTGGTGTACACGTACGTTATTTCCAGTTAGCCCAAAAATAATAATGACCCTACTGTAAATAATACATTTACAAAATTACATTTGTTGTGTATCACTCTTTGTGGTGTAAAAAAAGTAGGTTGAAATTAGCAAAGGTCAGTTTAGATGCACTTCAAATTGGACTATTTGGGAGAGCAGGTAAATATAACTCTCCTTCAGAAGTCATGCCAGTTGATTGTTCTGAATTACTTCATAGTAATATCGAGTGTGCTGTCAGTATTTTGCAAGTCAACTCTGTAAACTCTCTCAGTCCTAACACTGTAGTTAATGTTTTGTTTTTAGCAAAGTCTGAAGAAAGCTGGGAATCTCCCAAACAAGTTAAAAAGAAGAAAAAAGCAAGAAGGGAAACGTGAACTTCCTGAGATGGACATGTGTTGCTGAATACTGTCATGAAGATTATGCTGTTTATGCAATAATTTGTGAACATGTACAGAATTTTATATAAATTTAAAACAATTTTTAAAACAGAACTGCTGTGAACACAAACATCTTTAAAAAGGAATCAAAGGAAGGTAACTTTATGATATAGCATACAGAACATGCTACATTTGAAAGACATTCTGAAGAGTCTGTTTTTCCAACTTTGGAGAGAGATCTTAACTAAAAAAACTGGTTTTACAACACAGTGCCCTGTTTACAACAGATTATACTCTCATCTACAGCTGCGGATAAAAGATTAACTTCAAGGAAGGGTTTTCTGTAAAAATAATTGTCTGTACAATAGTGGGTGTTTCTTGCCTCTCTTATGAGTGATGCATTAGGAGCACAGAATGTCAACCATTTGAATTTGTTTCATGCCTAAATCAAAGTGCTTTGATTAAATACATAATCTGCCATATCTTTACAGTAAGTTGGTTAGCAAGTATGCTAGCTATTACAGGAATCACAAGTGCAAATCATTAACCATTTGTACAGTCAGACCTTCACGGTTTATTATATGAAGTTAACACAATAAAACTGCTTTGGGTTAAAAGTTTGAGAATGTGATTTGAAACTTGAGTATGGTTCATGAAGTTATTTTTGATAATGTCTATTACCTTACTTGAATTGTTGAAGATAACAGTATATTTTTAAGAATGCAGTAATGTGCATACAATTGGTTTTCTCCTTCATTCCCTACAGTTCTTGCTTGATTCAGACTCCTATCTAAAACTGTATCCTTTCAAGTTTTAAACTTACGGAATAAATTGAAATTAAACCTTCCCTTCCCTTAGCACTTTTTAACTTGCCGTCCCCAATTCTGTTCTGCCATACCCAATTCTGTTCTCTATTACTGAAACTCTGAAGAAAGCAAAGCGAACTTTTTTCACTTGCAAATTATTTGGGATTTCAAAGATCTGTTGGAGAACTGGAGTGGCTTCAGACAGCTTTAATTGACATTGTCAAGACCAGTTATCAGGAACACATTTTTTTACTGCCTTAACCTGTAGTATGTAGAATGTGTCTAGACTTCTGGACAGGAGTTAGCTTTTTTTTATATAAAAAAAATAAAAATTCATGCAAGCATAGCAGTTCTAAAATAAAGACCATTTCCTGCTTGGAACTGTTAATTAAAATGGTGTTTAAGATGTGTTGTCACTTTCAGGCACTGTGTAATTACATGGTATCAAACTGGCAGATGTGTTTGTGTCTGTAAGGTGCATGCTCAGCCATGTACACTGTAAATAGCCTTTACAAAAATTTATTTGATAAGGATGATAATTAGCGTCACCTTGTAAATTCAGTTAAAGAGCCAAGAATTTTTTTTTTAAATGATTGACTTCTGGTTTTGTGGCACAAACAGAATTGTTAACAGCTGTAACACATGGTACTGATCAACAATCTTGTACTCTTACTCTAGTTGACTGCAGTTCAACAGTATTGCAAGGTGAGAACAGTTAATGCAGCAAGCTGGTTTTAATTGTACTGAAAATGTACCTTGCTAATGGAGAGCTTTCCTAATAAATGAATACTAACTTGCACAGGTATTAACCCCTGTATATCAGGAACATGTGACACTAAATTGATTTGTTAAAATAAATTGAGTATATTGACAGTATTGATTTATTTACTGGGAGGGAGGAAAGTCTGAGACTGATACCTGTCAAGATTCATGTAAAATAAATTTAGAACTGAAGTACAAGCTTTTCAAGGAGTATCTTAAGGCAAACACAAAAACAGGACATTACAAAATCATGCAGAGTCCTTTGCATGTAAATAATAGTATGATTTTACTTGTCTTCATAGTAAAGGTTAAAAAGAATACCCTTTGAATTCAGATTTGTAATGTATGTCCAAAATATGTGTGTCCAATCTGTGTGTTGTGCTACAAGCCTGTTTTGTAGAAAATACTAAGATTTTATGTAATGAGAGACACTGCCCCCAAGGGCTTTCACTGCATAAATTCTTTTTTTCCTCCTTGAAGATAATAATTGGCAATATTTCTGGGTTAGTAAGCTCTAGCTCTTGAATAGCTGGTCATTCTGGAAAAAAGAAACAAAGTAACTAACATAGGAACCCTGCTAATTAGCTGCTACTACTAAGCAGGATCATATAAATACATAGCCTTCCTTTCAAAATGTTGTTACCTGTTTAGCACCACCTCTTACTATTTTCTTAATGTGCAGTTTCAACATCTTAGAAGGCAAAACTTGCTTTATTTGACATTCGTTAAAGAGGTAGTAACTGTATAGCATATTGTCTATAAATAGAAACTTCTCTATGTACTGTCATGTTTCTGACTCAAGCAGTGGTTAGTCTTAATGATACACTGAATCCAGACTTTGGTACTTGGATAGAAAGAGAAAACACCATTTAAAGAAACTTAATCATTTTTTCTTTTCTTTTTTTCTTTTTTTTTTTTTTTGTTGTTGTTGAATGCATGGAATGGTTTCATAAATCCAATATGTTGGGTTTTTCTAAATACTCTGGAATTATTTGTATGCGTAATTTAAACTTGTTGTGATGATGTGTAATTGGATAGTCATGGCATATTTTTATTTCTTTTGTGGGGAGGGAAAGGTGTACAGAGCTCATGTGTTTGTTATGAAGGTAACAACTGTGCATTGGTTTGGAGGGGGGTGAAAACTGTATTTCTGATGCCCTTTTAGAAGTCTAAAGAAAAAAGTGCAAGAGAAAAGCACTCCTTTAATATTTACTAAGAAAGAATGTACATATTAAAAACATTTCAAACTTTATAGAAATACTTCTAGTACTGTTGTGTTGTAACCGAATTGTATCTCATTGGAAACTGCCTTATTAATAGTTCCTAGCCATGGGATTATCCCGTGAGTACGGCTTTGGAAAAGTGCAGACATCAGAATACATGGTTTAAGCAGACTTTCAGCTGTTCTTAATCATAGTTGTTTTGCCTTTAAATGACTGAAGTTGATTGCCAGTCAAGATTTCAGTTTTTTAAAAAAATGCAAGTCTCCTTGCAGCCGCTTGTACCTGTGAGTCTCCTTCTGGTGCCTGCTGAGTACCAGTGAAGTTTCAATTTCAAGGCCATTACTGAAAGATCTTTTCATTGTTATGCTGTAAATGGAAGAAAAAACCCTAAAAATTGGAATTACTGCTTAAAAGATACTGCTAAAACTATTTTACTGTTAAAATTCCAAGTTAATTGCTTCATTTAAGAACTAAGAGCATCAGTTGAGTCAATCTGGGTGGGGGGAAGGACCAGGGAGGGCTGTGCGGCCAGTAGTCCTCAACCTGAAAGTACTGCGGTATCACCATGGATCTTACTCCCTGCAGGAGTAACAGAACCATTGTTAGATGGGATGGATTTTTGGGAGCGAAGCGGGAGAACTTGTATGACTGTTCCTGTTTGAAACTGGGTTGACTTACTAATATTGTCTTGGTTCCATATTGGGTCCCTTCAGTTTATGAAACTACTGAACTTCTGTTCTTTTAAATATCTAGTTAGATGTACCAAGCTGAAGGTTTCTGGTTCACTGAAAATCAGTTTGTTTACTGGAACTGTGATGTCTTTAATTTTGGTGTATTCTGGAAAGGCAAATTGCATTTTGAACTCTTTTAACATGAAACTACTGGTTTCAGAGTTTCATACAATGCTCTTAAAAAAACATGCTGAGGAACATCTGCAACTCAAACAAGTATATTTTCTATCCTAATTGTAGCATCAAGTGACCTTGTAGCTTGGCTCAGTATTTTTAATTCAGTCTGTGGCAGAGGGCAAGCCATGGACCACGCAGAACCAGATCGCCACAGTGAACTCATAAAACGGACTAGTTTTGAGACGGTTCTGTGTTTTCTCAGATAGCAAGTCTTCTATACACACAATGTTTCCACTTGGTTGTTCAGCGGGCTCTGACTTGGAGTTAAGCGATTCCTTTTCAAATACCCGATGAAGTACAGACCAAATACTTTGTTATAGAGAGCTTTGTTTTCAGAGGCCGTTCTGACTGAGGCTGCCACAGCTAGTTTTTCATGGCTCTGCTGTGTCCTTGACCATCCTTATCTATGTAGCTAACAGTCGTGCCTTGACCTACGTCCGCAGGTGAAGCTCCGGATGGGAGGTTACTCCTCCCTGATGCGATACCGTAACTCGGACTCGCTCACTCTGGCACAGCCAGGCTTTAATGTGTCTCTTGAAGAGGCATGCTGGACTGGAGAGGTGTGTCTTGCATTTTCACCCTTAGAATATGCAGCCATTGTACGTAAAAAATACCTGCAGTCATGTCTGAAATTACTACAGAATTAGCTTTCTCATAGTTGCCATTGTTGGAAGTTTGTTTACAACCCCCTGGTTACTAGAAACAAGGCAACGTCTTTCTAAGGGGAAAGAGACAATGCCAAAGCTGTCATTAGAATGTATGAAAAGCTACAGGCTGGATTCTAGACTGGCTGCAAGACTTAAATCATTCTGATTTGAAGGTACCTTATTAATAGCTCAAAATAAATAACTAAAAGTGGAAAATTAATTAGTTTGCTAATGAACAGCTATGTTGAATTCCCTATTTGTATACAATGTGATCAGGTATTTCCTTAAACTTTTCTTCATTGCCTTGAAAACAACTGTCTGACCGAAGGCTGAGAGGACCTCAAGGCTCTTTAGTTCACTCTGCCCTCTTCTGAGGCCCCTCACCTTTTTTCTTTTTTTTTTTTTCTCCCTTTGATGTGCACGTGTACAACTCCCGAAAGGCTCCCAAATGCAGTTGCACCAATGTCAACTGCTACTGCTTTGTGCTTGCCTGGGAAAAGAAGGCCTGCTTGAAGCAGGTGATACTCCATGTATCCATAATCACACCTTGGGAGCTGAGGTATTTCAGGGGTCTAACACAAGCTGAAACTCTTGTTTTCTCCGTTCTTGGTTCATCCTTTAGTTACTCATCTTGCTTATTCAAACCTGACAGGCAAGCTATGACTGGCAAGATAATCTCTTCCTGACTGTAAGCTCTAAGTATCCCATCATCAAAACGTAAATGGCAAAAGCCTTTTTGCAGCCAGAATACTTTCCTTAGAGCTTCTCTTCCAGATCTTTATCCCCTCTCAGGGAAAAAAAAAAAAAAAAAAAAAAATCTTTGAAGATAACTTTGTGGAGCTCTCATCCAGACGAGTTGGAAGACTGTAAGCGTTCCTCATACAGACACTTGTTTTGCCAGGTAATGCAGTCATGAGTCGTCCTCTGTGCCTGGTGGGTTTGGAGCTATGTTGTGCCTTAACTGAGGGACTGAAATCTGTAGAAGATATCGCAGACTAAGCATAAAAAAATGGGTTTACATTTGAATTAAGTGGCATTTCCTTAAAAAAACAAAACAAAAGACTCAAACACATACTTCCATATTGTTATAATGCAGTAAGATTGTGAACAGAAAACACAGACTACTATGAAATTCCACGTGCCTGCTGCCTGGCTTTCCGTATGGGGGAGGGGAGTCTGTCGTGTGCACAAACCAAATCTCAGTAGCTTTATTCTCTGTCAATCCAAGCCTGTGTGGGCTTACCAAGGTGGTTTTTTCCAGAGGT